GATTTATTGATATCAGAGATCCAGGATCCAGTAGCTAAAAGCAAGGGATCTAAACAAAGCTTTCTTTCATCAGATAGCCAATTGTCGTAAGAGAGACAACTCTATCTCGATGATCAGACGTAAAAACTGCCTTTTTACACAACCTGATGATATTGAACTCACCATAGTAGATTTCTTTCAATCTCTTTACTCTGCTCCCTCTGGCCCTAGACCCAAGATGTCTTCCGTCGATTTTTTTAGCCTCTCGACTGAAAGGACTTTGCGGTTAGAAAGACCTTTTACTGAGGAAGAGATTTTGATAGTTGTTGATGCACTACCCAAAGATAAAGCCCCTAGCCCTGACGATTTCCCAATTGCACCCTTTAAGGCCTTCTAGGATATTTTTGCTCCTGACTTTAAACTCTTCTTCGATGAATTCTTTCTCCGGGGAACCCTACATCAAGCTCTTAATGCAACCTTCCTAGCTCTTGTTCCTAAAGTGGAAGGAGCAGAGGAAATCAAGGATTTCCGCCCCATCAACCTGTTAAACTCCTCCTACAAAACTCTAGCCAAAGTCCTAACAACCAGATTTCAACAAGTCCTTCCTTCCATTATCTCCTCTTCCCAAACCGCTTTCATCAAAGAAAGACAAATTCTTGATGGAGCATTAGTGGCTCATGAGTGCATCCACTCACGTCACCTTGAGAAAAAACCTGGCCTAATCTTCAAAATTGACTGGGAGAAAGCTTATGACCATGTCAATTGGTCCATCTTAGAAGAGACAATGGTCAGAATGGGTGTCCCAAATCGCTGGAGGAAGTGGATGCGAGGCTGCTACTCCCATCCATACTTCTCTATCCTTATAAATGGGAACCCGAAAGGCTTCTTTTCTTCCTCGAGAGGTCTTCACCAAGGAGCCCCCCTCTCTCCCTTCCTGTTCGCTATTACTACTAAAGTTTTTAGTCGTTCTCTTTCCCGGGTTTTTCAGGCAAGTCTTCTCTCCGGCTTCAGGAGTAGTAGACACGGCCCAACAGTGTCACATCTGCAATATGCAAACGACACTCTGGTGTTCTTAGATGCCTCCCCTAGGGAAGTGGATACCTTGAATCTCTTCCTCAAATGCTTCCAAATTGCAACTGACTTCAAAGTCAACATGGAAAAGTAAAAAATGATGAGGGTTGCAATGTCAAATGTTGAGATTAGAGGCCTTATTCCCAACTGGGAATGTAAAGTGGAGGACCTCCCTACAGCCTATCTAGGTCTCCCTCTTGGACTAGGCAAACCCAAAAAAGGTCAATGGTCCCTAGTCATTGATAGGGTGGACATACGCTTGGCTGGATGGAAAGGTCGCCTCCTTTCTATGGCAGGCAGGTCGACTCTGATTAAAGCTACTTTATCAAACTCTCCAGTTTACTTAATGTCGCTCTTCCATATGCCTACTCAAGTGGCCAATCGTTTGGACCAGCTCATGCTTAATTTCCTATGGTCAGGGCAGGCTCAGAAGACTAAATTCCATCTGGTAGGTTGGGACAACATTTGCCTTCCTAAAAACCAGGGTGGTCTAGGTAGCAGGGTCCTCAGAAAGTATAACCTCGCCCTCTTAGGCAAGTGGTGGTGGCGAATGGCATCTCAGCCTGATTCCCTGTGAGCTCAGGTATTAAGAAACAAATATCGGATAGCTGAAGGAGCTTGGGTAACTTTGTGGTCCCACAGACACAATACCTCAGGGAAGAATTCGTCAATGAAACAGATAAAATCAGGATGCAAAATATCGACTTTGAAAGGTGCTATCAGGAATCCATCTGGTTCGAGGGCTTTGTCTTTGGCTAGGGCATCAATTGCTTTGAGAATTTCTTCTTCAGTGAAAGGTTGCTCTAGCCAAGCAGCCCGGTCTACAAGGAGAGCCAAGAATTCAAGAGTTGACATTCTCGATCTCGGGCCAGAAGGAGCAGTGTATAAAGTCTGAAAAAACTCTATAATAGCCTCCTCAATTTCTTCAGGGTGAACCAAGTAGCGGTTATTGGATTTGAGCATCGAGATAGTATTGTCTCTTCTGTAGCAATTTGCTATTCTATGGAAGAAAGCTGTGTTTTGGTCACCCGCTTTCAGCCACTTTATCCTTGATCTCTGGAACCAATAAATCTCTTCTTTTTTGAGAATAGAGTGGTATTTCATTTTTTACTGTGTTCTGAGATTCAACTCTGTGGTGTCCAGAGATCCGGATTCAAGACGGTCAAGTTTTTGGATGGTATCCAAGAGGGAAGATTTGATTTGAAAGTAGTTGCCGGGAATGGACCTACTCCAGATTTTGAGAGAGGCTTTGAGAAGCTGGATTTTTGTCTAGAGTCTATAGCTTGCTCTACCCTGGACCTGGGAAGAAAAGGAGTTCCACCAAGTTGGGATAAGGGTAGGGAGGGACTCCTCTTGGAGCCATGCTAATTCAAACCTGAAAGGTTTTGGGCCCCTCCTGACTGCAAGAGTATCAAGAAGAATGGGGTAGTGATCATAAGTGGATTTGGGTAGGGCCAAGGTAAAGGAGCCTGGGAACTGTTCCTCCCAGTTCGGGGATAAGAGAAATCTATCTAGTTTAGAAAGGGAAGGTTCGGGAGCATGGTTGGACCACGTATAGCAACTTCCTTGAAGAGGAATGTCAAGGAGTTCATTCCGACTGATGAAGTCAGAGAAGTCCCTCATGTTCTGAGAGATGGAGGTGGAGGAGTTCCTCTCATAAGACCATCTGGTAACGTTGAAGTCTCTTCCCAAACACCAAATTGGTTGTGGTAGGGCTGCTACCTGGTCCAATTCAGACCAAAGTATGTGTCTGAGTGAAACTGAATTTGGGCCATAAAAGGCCGTGAATTTCCAGGGGATACCATCAGGGATACTAGAGAGGAGTATGGTCACAGAAAACTCCCCTAAGTGGGAGGAGTTGAGAGAATGATCTGAAGGGTTCCAGATCACCCAGATGCCCCCTGAAGCCCCGTTCGCCGGCAGTGAGACCAACTGGCATGGTCTTCTACCCCATACCTGGCGAATGAGTAGAAGAGTAGGCTCAGGTTGTTTGGTTTCGATGAGGGCAAGAACTGTGGGAAGGTGTTTAGAGGTTAAATCCTTGAAAGCATCCCTTTTGGAACCTTATAGAAACCACGCCCATATAATAATATTGTATTGTAATATATTAAAAATATATTAATAATAAAAATCACAATAGTATAATAATATGTGTAATTGTAATAGATTATTCTACTACTAAAGATTATTATATTTTATAGTTACTACTAATAATAATAATAATAATAATAATAATAATAATAATAATAATAATAATAATAATAATAATAGTACTAGTAAGAGTAATAATGGATTTTATTCCATCTCCACATTTTGGCCTAAAAACATGGATACAGTTATCCAAGCGGAGATTGAAATCCCATCCAGACCGCAATTAAATAAGGGTGGCAATGGGTTGAGTCCGGTTGGACTCAGACCCGGATCCGAATAGTATTCGGGTCCAAAATTTGGACCCATACCCAAACCCGTGACTTCTGAGTCTGGTCGGATCCATTGCCACACTATGACTATGAGCTTTTGTTTTTTTGCCCTTTTTTTTACCATCATATACCCTATGACTATGAGCTTTTTTTTTTTTGCCAATAATACTGTAAATGTTGCTAATATTGTGACAATATGAACACATAGCATGTGCCTAAAGACACATGATTGCCATCATATACCCTATGACTACAGGTACAAGTCGGGTACGTGTCGGGCCAGGATGGACCTGGACCCGAATGGTATTTGAGTCCAAAATTTGGACCCATACCGGGACCTGAGGTCGAGTCTACCCGTCGCATCCCTGGTCTGGTCAGGTCCATTGCCACCCCTACATCTAAACTGCAGATATGCCCGGTATCCATGGAAATAAGTTTCCTAGAGACCCATTTCCGGGGGCCAAAAGGGCCCTTATTATATATGGGCCACGAAATTATGGCCATATTCAATAATCATGGCCATATTCATAACTTCTCTACATACCAAAGTTTTTGCTTCCAGTTTCTATTATCTCCTAGCTAGACACTTTATATATATTCAAACAACAGGAACTTGGTTAAAATATTTTTCTTCCACATTTAAATATTCTAAATTTCTATGATATTTCCGTTTTGTAGTTTTAAATACTCGCAAAAGTGGAAATGCTCCAATCACAATAGAGTACACATTTTGATTTAACCTGAAGTCCTATTCCATCAGTTCCAGATTCAGAGTTTGTTTCTTTTGTCTTTTCCATCTATATGTATGTTTGATTGGTACACAAGGAATTCACCTATGTTTGAGACAAGGAGTTCCATATTGTTATGGGATACAAACCACAGGTTAGGAGTTATCATGTACGATACTAAGATCTGCAATAAAAAGTTATGTCCTGAATGATACAAGTCCTCTAGAATATGCATATATTTGTTTGTATAAGCTAAGTATGACAATTTCTAGTTACGCTCACTACCAAGTAACACATTTCTCCTGCTTTAATGTTCACACTCTTCTTGTTTTCCTTAGCAATGGCAAACAGCTGACTCATCCTGAAATTTGAAGTGGAGATGCTACTTGGTGCAAATCAACATTTAAACATGCAAATGAAATTATGTTCCAGTCTCGTACCTAGTGAATGTAACTTTGATAGGAAAGACAAATTGAAAGAAGTTTCTCAACTCTGTGTCAAAATAATATAAAAGGAAGATATGCAAGCTAAAAAGTAAAACCTAATCAAAATCCGATAGCTATTTTCTACATGTTTCTGTATGTGTAGTATGCATATTATATATGTGCACTGAACACCAAATCAGACTGAAGAAGTGTCAAATGAATAATAGGCGTATTAATCAAAATCCAATAGCTATTTTCTACGTGTTTCTGTATGTGACTATGTGTGCATATTATATATGTGCATTGAACACCAAATCAGACTGAAGAAGTGTCAAATGAATAATAGGCGTATTGAGCAACCAAGGTCATGAAGTTACTTGTCCCTTCGCTTTGGCAGCTTCTCCTTCTGCCTCCAATATGGTCTGTTTTGGTCTAATCCATATCCAATTGGTGATAGAAGACAAATAGATGAAAGTATTAGTCAAAAAAACTCTCAAGCATTTTAGCAAAAAGTAAAAGAAAAGAAAAAAACACAGCACCATAACCAGGGTTAATAAAATATTGTAAAGATAGAAATAAGAGGAAAAGCATCTCAAGTCAACGAAAAATTACAAAACATAGAAAATATGAAAACAGATCACAAAACTAACCTAAAAGCTTTCAAACTTTCTGAAAAGGCCAGTGCATTTAGCTCACTACATCCCAGTTCATTCATAAATATAGGATGCACTCCTTCACGAGGTAAATCTTTTGCTCTCCTAATAGATTCCCTAGATGGTGAAGGCTTTGTCTTTGAATACAAGCTAAAAGCATTTGTACAAGTTTTTCTTAATGCAATCAGTTCCGAGGACCCATCAACAATTTCTCGAACCCTATCAGAAACAAGATCTAGGGTTGTCTGGGGAAAACGGCCATAAACTGTTTCCCCGTTTTGAAGTGCCTGATCTATTTTTGACAAAACCCCATTCATGTCTTTGACGACTTCCTCTTCTGTAGGAGCAGGTCTTAAAGGCTTTGAAAGAAAGAGATGAAGATCTAAGAGGTAAGGCATATCTTCTGATGTAACAAAGGAGTATGCAGTACCTGTGCGACCAGCACGAGCAGCTCGCCCAACTCTATGGACAAATATCTTAGGTTTGGGAGGAAAGTCCCAGTTCACAACATTATCAAGCAATGGAATGTCGAGGCCTCTTGCAGCAACATCAGTAACAATTAAAAACATAGTTTTTCTTGACCTAAACCTCGAAAGGTGCATTTTGCGAGCATCTTGATCCATATCACCATAAACAACAGATGGTTCTATACCATCCGCTTTGAAAATACCATTGAGAAACTCTACATGATGCTTCGTTGAAACAAATATTAGTGTTTGTTGGTCAGAACTGATTTGCTCCCTCACTAAATGCAGCAAAGCAGCATACTTTTCTTCCTGGCGTGATGTGAAAAAGGTGATCTTGAGATCAGGACTAATCTTAGTTTCAAGATCAAGGCGTACGAGTTGGGGATCACGTAAACCAGCCTTTGCAAATTCGGCAAGTGCACTCGGTAAAGTGGCACTGAAGAGTAAAGTTTGGCGAGTCTCACTCAGCTGAGAAAGTATCTTGTGCAACTGTTCTGCAAAACCCATCCCAAACAGACAATCGGCTTCATCAAATACAACATATTCTACAGTGCGCAAGGACATATCATCAATCTCTGCCAGATGATGCATAAGTCGACCAGGAGTTGCAATTATAACATCAGGATTTTGGGCCAGTTCTTCAAACTGGCTTTCCATGCTATCCCCCCCAACCAATAAGCTTGCACGAATATCTGCTTAAGACAAAAACACAAGCCTTAATAAGTGGTTCAGTATTCAATTTAATTTTAGTTTAAAATTGTAGTAAAGAAAAGTCATAGATCTATACTATGAGGCAAAATTTTGTCTGTTCAATAGGCCACAAAACAGGTTTTACAGTTTCTAGGATAGATATCCCACAAAAAAATTCAAAACCCAAGGAAAACCAATGAAAACCCAAATAAGAGAAGACATTGACAGGGTCCATTAATAAATGTGTGCAATGCATGTCAATAAAACTGAAAAATCTGAGAGGCTATGTTCTGTCCATCATATGGTTCATTAAGCAACATTTCTTTCTGCCAAAACCTTTCTTCTATCATTATTTTTTCTCCAAAACTAAAGATGAAGAAGACTAGTTCTGTTTTACAGCTCCGTAAGCACCATTCCATCTTCCTTAAAAATGATACAATTCTATACAGTAACAAGACAAAGAAAAGCCTGAAAACTTCCAAACCTACGCCAATATCTTACCAAGTGCCCAAGAAAAGACATCATCTCTTCCAACTCCCCTTCCATTAGCTCACCTCTAACAGAAAGCATCCACATGATTTTTCCCCAAGGACGCAAGTGAAGTCAACAACCCAAACAATCTAAGCATCTAGCCAAAATTCACATCCTTAGGAGAACCTCCTAGAGGGATTATCCAAAACATCTGTCAAGCAGAATATGCTACCTACAATCCGTCCTAATGACTATTCAATCACTTACCCCGAAGATCACTACATGCTCACTAATAGAAAGCAAGCTCCAAAAATACGGCCTCTTATTTTCCATTTACCATCCCAAATTTCAGTATCATACATAACATTTGATCTCAACTGCTAGATCCTTTAAAAAAAAAAAAAAAACATCAAGAACTCTAAAATGTGAATACCCAAATCCTTTGAATCCTTGTCTCAATAACACTTTTTCCACTGAATTGGATTAATTCTATCAGTAGAAAGAGTCATGTTGTCCCAAGGCTCCACAGAAAGTCCCTTTGGATATAGCAACTTGTTAGTAGACATCTTAGCATACCCAACAAAAAAATGTAGCGAATCAGGATAACAGCCAATGTGAACCTAACAAGTTTGATAGGACCTACTAGCCTTGTGATTCTCTTCATCACAGTGTCTCAAACTTGTTTCTAAGGGGCACAGTAATAAAGAGGAATCCAAAATATGAGGTGGATCAATAATCAATAATTCCTCCCATAGCCCTAGACTAATCCTTGTAACCATTTTATCTTTCCAATGGCAATGGACTTTGTTTTGGACAAATTGCCCTCTTGAACCAACGCCCTCACAATGCGTATCAGTATAAAAATCAAGGTAGAGAGTGCTCCAGAAGAGGACCTCAAATCATGATGGAGTCATCTAAACATTGCGAATGTAAGTCCTTTCCATACCAAGGATGGGGGAAAGCCCTCAATCCAACAAAGCTTTGCCCCTTCATTGAGACACCAAATATTCTACCATGACAGACGACAAGAGAGGCAGAGAAGCTCCTCCCAGCACAATCCTCTCCAAAATCTATAAACTTCTTTATGGGAAGGCATTAAGAACTAATGAAAATCAGGAGTAGAAAAAAACACGCACGATCATTCAGTGAATCAATCTATCCGCAAAACCTAACCTTCTCAACTTGTATCCAACAGAACTCTGGCAACATGGTTATGAGCTTTTTCCATGTTTGCAATAAAGTTTGATCCTACACTTTGGATGCCAGTCCCCTAACTGGAGGGGTGAAAGGCAGGTAGTTTTGTACCCATTGGTTAGGGGAAGAGTCAGCAGATTTTCTCCATGAGAACCAGACAGATGACGTTGTGCTTATTCTACTAAATTCAAGGGAGCTTCGTGAAAGTGAGATGCATATGGGTGGCTCATTGACATTAGGTTCCACTAGAGTCAAATGAAAATTTCTATGGCTGGTGGTGGTTAACAAAAAAATCCCAAGGCTGGTGTGCACAGTGGATTTGGAGAAAGCACATAATTGGAGTTTTTTCCCATCTTCCATTTTGAGCAGGAAACAAACTTGTGCTTAAAGACAGTCGATTAAAACTCAGTCCACCAACTTGAACATTGACACAATTTTCCCTTCATCGATCACAATAAAAATTCACTTCATCTAGAAGTGAACACCTGGAATAAATGGTAAATAACACCCAGCAATGATAGATACAAGGTCATATAGGATTCCTTCTTGGTATCCATGCTCAAGAAGTATTGGGGTGATAGGCAGTAAAGACATATTAGAACTAATTAGAGAGAGACGAACCCATAAACAACTAACAGTAACTATGGGTAAAAAGAAGTTGGGAGGCGAACATGGCATGAAATACAACTCAATTAAACATCTTATAGAATACTTTGGGGCACACAACGAGATATCAGTAGTTAAATAAGAAGAAAGATTAGGACATTACTTATTCAGGTCTGACAGAGAAGATTAGATCATATCGCCCCCAGATTCCAAGGGAGAATTTTCAATCGAATCAATGTGCTGGCCCTTAACCATGTGTTCAGAGGAGAGCAATGCTGTAAACATAGTATGGAGTATCCAAGGGCCTGTCAAGAACCAAGCCTTTGCATTGCTTATTATCCTCGATAGAGAGCTGACTGTTGACCTTTGACAAACAACAAACTGACCATACCTAATAGATTTCTAATGTTCAAAAAAGAATTAGAGAAACAGTCAACCACCTATTTCTACATTGCAACTGGGTTACTGTAATGTGGGCCCTTTCATTAAAGTAGTTCAGTTTTGCATGTGTAAACTGATCATCAATGGTACACTGTTGTTTATCCCCTTGTTGCTGAAAAAATGATTGATACTGTGGCAGCTGACTATCCTCACAGTGCTATGGTTAACATGGTTAAAGAGGAACAAAAGAGGCCTTAAAAATGTTGATAGGGCCAACAGAAACCTCAGGACATTAATTATTTCTTAGAAAAGAGTTCAAGGACAATCATCTGGAAGATTTTGAGAACCAATGGCACCAACATGCGTATTCAGAACTATCAACAACCAGTAAGGCCTTCATCAAACAAAAAATAACCAGTAAGGCAATGGAATGGTTTCTGCCCTCTGTGGCTGTAACTAAAGTTACAATCTGAAGGAAGTAGAATTATACGATCTGCTACTGGATCTTCGGAATTAGGAGTCCAAGACAGAGCCATGCTATCAGATCGGCTGGGCAAACAGAAAAAGTATCGACGGTGTTCACATATTGTGTTTGAAGAAATATAGGGCATCTATATATATACTTGAGGCCGATGTTTTGGCCAAGGAAAAGGAGACCATAGAAAGAGCTGATAGTTACAGTGTTCTGTGTACAATTGTGCAGATGAACATACTTAGTTTTGATTCTTTTCGAGTTGGGTGCACTCTGATGGATTTTGTAGAAATCCAGTAAATGTTGTATATCATTTATTCTTTTTAAATAACAAATGAAATATATTTACCATTAAAAAATAATAATCAAAGGGGAAGAAAAATATCCATTTGAACTCATAGAGAAGAACAGAAGTAGAGTAAGAAACAAACCCATATATCTCCCTAGCTCCTTGGTAAACTTGAAGGTCTGAAGAGCCAGGTCTCTGGTCGGTGATAGAACTAGGGCACGAACCCCAGTCTGAGGAACATGCTCCTTCAATCTCTCCAGCATGGGGACCAAGAAAGCAGCGGTCTTTCCTGAACCAGTCCTGGCCATGCCGACCACATCAGCACCCGCAAGAATGAGGGGCATGGCCTTCCTCTGAATAGGGGTTGGAACCCTGTAACCCTTCCGCTTCACCCCTCTGAAAACATTAAGGCTGAGGCCCATGGACTCGAAACCACCGGACTTTGCTTTCTTCTTCATCTTCTCCACCTGCTTCAGCTGCGCCTTCGAGCTAACCTGCAAATTAACACGCGCCATTGGAGCTCGCTCTCTCTCTAGATTTGAAAGTTAGAGAGAGAGTGTGCGTGGAAGAGCTCTGCTCCCCGGGGTCTTCTTCCCTGGTAGAGAAAGCAATAAGCTTCCTCGACTCGGAAGCTTGTAGCAAACAAATGAAACTGGTTGGGTTGAGGGAAAAAACAAAAAAAAAGAACGATAAAATGTCGAACTCGACGTTGCAAAAAATTTAAGGCTAAAATGTTGAAATTTTATATAAAAATATTATATTTTAAATATCAAAAAAAATATTCTATATTACGATCCCCTACGATAAATCCCTAAAATTTTAGATTAAAATTTAAGAAAAATATCTCCTTACCTTTATTTTTACTTCTACTTCCTATCAAAGTCAAGGTTTAAAAATGTTACTTTTATCATAAAATTTTCATTTTTTTTATCTCGCAACTTCTATATCTTTTTTATCATTAATTTTTTACCCACATAAATATTAAAATGATACTTATCTCTCAAAACACACTCTCTCAACACTCCATTTCTCTCTTTAGTTCCCAAAGTTAACTCTTTTTGAATCTTCATTATCTCATCTCTCACTAAAAATAAAACTACTCCCTCTAAAATCATTATCTCTCTCTTAGACCTCCATTTCTCTCTCTGCAATCCATCCATCTCTATAGTTTTAGTTTTTTTTTTCTGTCTAAAATCCATCAGGTAGGTCCGCCTAAGGTATGGGAAATCTTTCTCCTATTACATGAATCAAACGTTTCATTTCAATCGAGAAAAACCATCTCTTTCTCAACAATGTCTTTACCATTTGATCCAATAGCGTTTCGTTAGATAAGAACAGATTTGATAAATACTGATAACTCTCAACTGGCTATGAATCAACAATTCGAAGTGCTTTTCTTACGTATTCTTGATCAACTAGCATTCATATACAGATATAGGAGAATGTGTTTGGGAGGGTAATAAATCTCTTTGACATCTCTTCATCTGCATCCTTCAGGTCTTCTGTGTGCAACCTCTACCATTCAGGTCTTTCATGAGTCCACTGCTCTAGTTTTGCTGACCGATAAACCTGTGCAAAACACGAGAGAGAAGCCACAATGATTTCACCATGCATAAAAGATTTGTAAAGAGAGAAAGAGATGGCCCAATTTGTAGAGAGAGAGAGATGGCCCGAGTTTGAAGATGGAGAAATGATTGTGGAGAGATATAGAGAGAACCTCATTCTTCTTGGGGTGGACGGAGGATTGAAGCAAAAGCCATTTTTGGATACTCTGAAACCCTATCCAATTACAAAAATACAGCAACTAAACAAAAACTATTCTCTCTCCTCTCATCCCTCAAAAAGTAACCCATACAACTTGAAAAAAAACAAGAAATTCAAACACCCATTTACCCTTCTCTCTAAAACCTCTCCTTTTCTCTCTCTAAAACAGCTCCACACCAACCTCTTTCTCTCTCTAGAAATAATCACTTTCTCTCTCTAGAAATAACAAAGAGAACTTAAGAGAAACATGAAATTCAGAAACCCAATTATCCTTCACTAGGCCTCTGCAATTTATCGCGCCATTCAAAAACAGCACATTGTTTTTCCTTTAGAAATACCCAGAGATAGAGGAGGAGTAAAGAGAAAAAGATGATACAACAGTGAAAAATGTATTGCCCACAGTTTGCTCCAACAATGTAGGTCATTCGCACAGTTTTTATTTAAATCTTGTTTAGCAAAATGGCTTCTAACCATATTATATCTATTGTTGAGAGAGAGGAGAAAGAGACAATGTAGAGTGGGTCCCTGTACTTTGGGTATCGTATTAGAGAGAGAGAGAAATGGAAGTTTGAGAGAGGGAGATTTTAGAGAGAGAAATGGAGTATTGAGAGAGAGAGTGCTTTGAGAGATATGTATCATTTTAGTATTTGTGTGGGTCAAAATTTAATGATAAAAAAGGTATAGGGATTGCAAGATAGAAAAAATGAAGAATTTATGCTATAAGTAACATTTTCAAACTTTGGGTTTAATGAGAAATAGAAGTAAATAATAGAAAATAAAAAAATATTTTCCTTAAAATTTATTTTCAATATAGGTTTATATGAGCCCTGCATATATGTCCGCCAACTAATAGAAACCCATCCTAAATTAAACCATAAGTCTAAGTTAAGGAAATGAAACTTGTTGGGTTGAGAAAGGAATATGTATAAAAATAATATAGAAAGGCTTTGGATGCTACGAGATCATTTATTTTTTTGGAACAAGGAGGTTACATTCATTTTGTGTCGTTAGATGTGAAATCTTATACATAAAAGTATTATCAAATATTCGAGAAATTTTAGTTTGGACGTTGTGCCCAAACAATGATACATCTTCAATAGAGAGAGAGAGCCATTTTTATACTCCACCAGTGCACTCAACCTTGCCCTAGGTGCCCAACCCATTGAGCTCCAATTGCCTCCTAAAAACTATAAAAAAAACAAAGAAATTCAAAATTAAAAAAATCGAATATTGGTTAGAATATGTTTTAGATGATTTTGTTAGTTTTAAGATGATTTCTCTTTTTTCAATTTTTTTTTTGAAATATTCAATATAAAAAATAATTTTTTCACTAACTCAAATTTTATTCTAATGAAGTGGTACCCACGTTCTTCCGTGCTCGTAGGTCTACTACCTTATGCATCCAGCCCTTGAAGTAAATCAGCGGATATAACCATTCTAACCGGACAAGTCTTAGAGCGGTCAAAAAATTGTTGGAAAAAATAAAAAAGATACAAAAAAAGCTATTAAAATATGAAAAACATGTAAAGAATGATTAAAACAAAACACACTAAAATGAAGTTGAAAATTAATGAAAAAAATAACTTTTAAAGATGCCTAGTGGTATTTTTAAAATTTTCTGAAAAAAATAAGAAAATGTAAAAGTGAGTATTAATGATCAAAACAAATTCTAATCTTTACTAAAATATAAAGAATATTAAAAAATGTATTACGAATCAAATTTTTTATTTTTAGGATATATACATATATAT